GGTATTTGAAGAAATCATAATTTACTACAGTTCTGATGTTAAGTAGTCGCCTCGTATCACCGTCAACCCACATAAATGTCCAACACATTTGCCTCTTGGTTTTCCATGTATGTGATACTGCACCCACACCACGATACAGGCTATTGGGAGATGTGAAAAGTCTCTCAAAAGGATAGTGGCCAGCCAATCGACGATTTAACGCCCGATGAATCCGCGAGCGAATTCTGGTATCGCGGCTGTAAGAAAATCGCGCGACTCTCGCGTTACGTTTTGTTGAGAAATCGCGAGCTGCGGGACTGGCGATGTCGCGGATTTTCTTAGGAGAAGGGCTCGGTTTTCGCGATAAGCTTGTGTAACCGCTCCAAGATCCTCGCCGATAAGAATTATGTGACATAGACGGTGAATCTTGCCATCGTCGTTGCCCAAGGAGAGCACGTTTTTATAGCAACGTTCATGCGCGATTTCGCGTTTTACAAAAACGGACCTTCGGCCTTTCTGCCTCGTTCGCGATGAAGCGACTTATTATTTTTATAAGTATGAAAATGATTATCGTATTGAATGTTATGTAATATGAATGAACAATGAGTAGATGGGATGCTTTTGACATATGAATGCTGGTTTATGTTGTAACTTGCCTATTAATGGAAAATACATAGGTTCATTGATTTATAAGGTTCAAGGTACAGGGAACGAACGTGCATGCACAATTAATTTAAATACCTAATATCGGAAACATTATTTTTATTTACTAAAATTATTATTACATTCATGGGAATGTATTATAGAAATGTAAATACACTGTCACAAGTGTATTTTATACATTTTCTTGATGTAATGAGCAAACAGTTTCGTACGATCATTTAAAGGTCTTGAAATTCTTGACATTATCTCGAATACTGAAAACGGTGTTATTTATTTTTGACGTTAAATGATTTTTTATCTTTTGAAAATTATTTTTATTCTTGCCTCGTATGTACTCGTTATTTTCAACTTACGTATTTGAAAAATGTATGCTTCAAGTTCGTTGCGATGTGAATTTAAGGTTTAAATACGCTGGAAAATGGTATGATAAAATGAGGAAATAATTTGTCGAATTATCAAATTGTCAAATTGCTGATTAAAAGTGTACAAAATTACACTGTAATTATTGAATAGAAAAGTACTAAATATACATGTAATTAATGTTAAGGTAAAGGTATCGTAAAAATCGTTGTCGTCGTCGTTGTCGTGGTTGTTATCGTATTTTGTTGTTATTGTTTTTTGTTTTTTGTTTTTTTTTTTGCATCGATCGAGCGAATCGGATGGATTTTTAATGTCTTTAAAATGTGATACGAATTATTCGGTTAAAATTAAAATTACCGATTTACTAATCGAGCAAGTAATGATTGGTGTTGAAGATAATTTATTTGTTTGTTTTCGTTAAAAATTTCGTTAAAAAATCGTTAAACAATTGATTGCCCGCCCATCAATCCTTTAGCATTTACACAGGCTGACATTTTACATGAAGAATGAATTGTTCATTAAGGTAAACGCTAATACATGTGCCATTCGAACCTAGCCCGAAGAACACTATCCGCTTGGCGATTTATTGTGCTAGAATAAACATGAAAAATGACATAAATTATATAAATAATGTAATATTAATGGGGAATTATATAATCACACCGAAACTGTGTGTTGCAGTAAAAATGAGACCTGCACGCGTACGATTTGCTTTAATTTAATTAATCCGAGATGTTATACGAGAAATTATACGAATTACTGCACGATTATTGCATCGCAAGCAAAAGATCGCTCTTTTAATACAGTTAATTCTTGGCTGTCTCCATTGAGCATAATATAATATAATATAATATATACTCTTGCAGCGTCAAATTCTCTTTCAAAAAGACCAGATCTGGAAAGTTGATTGATATAAATGCTTCATCGACTAATGGAATAAACCCTATAATATTCCTACTCAATTAGTAATGAGTCAGCGGAGTCACTGGCATCCCTGCGAAAAGTCGCAATGCCCCTACATTGGCAGTAGATCTATCCCCAAGCATTCCAACGTGGGTGTGTGTGTGTGCGCGCGTGCGTGCGTGCGTGCGTATGAATGCCGAAGTGCAACCGACCGACCACCGTAGCGAACGTGAGCGAAAGGTCAGGTCGGCAATTAAGGCGTCGGCCGACTACTACCGAGCGACGAAAGAATCGAAAAAGAAAGCGGCGACGGTCGGGAATCGGGGGACCGGAAGGACAATCGATGCCGGGGCCTCGGTTTGGGCGGGAGGGCGAGAGGGAGAGGGCCGTGCTACAGTGTCTGCCATCGAAGCCGTTCGTCCGCGTGCGATCGTTAGAGCCATGGGACGGCAATGGAGAATCCGAGGAGGAGATGACGAGAGAATGAGCGGGAGTGGGAATGGCGAGTGAGAGAGAGAGAGAGAGAGAGAGAGAGAGCCGAGGTGGAGGAGGAAGAGGAAGAGTAGGGCCACGGCCTTGAGAAATTCGGCGCGTGCCGGCGCTCAGTTCGGCTTGAATTCGGTGCGACGACAGACTTGGGCGCGCGAACGCGATAAGCCCTTATGAAAAAAGGCCGCGGCAAGGTAACGAACGTACGCCGCATTTCCAGCTTATGGGGTTATCTGTCTCGACGTCCAGTGTGCGCGTGTTCCGTGCGTGCGCTTTTCCGTAATCGCGGTGGGGGTTTGGTGGAAGGGGGATGGGGTGGGGGGGAGGGGGGTTAGAAACCGTCTGCGGAGTTTACGAGGAGGTGGTGTGCGTAGTTTTGGCGTTCGTCGGCGCTAGTAACTTTTCAGATGCCCACGAGTGTCGACGTCGCAGGTGTCGTCCTTCTTGTCTAACTCCTTTTCTTTTACGCTAATCGCGAGCCTCGAGGGACGTTTAATCGTCCGCCAAGTGCCTTGGCCACCGTATCATCGTCTAACTTTTTCGTAAGCCGAGAACCAAGAGTATGCATTAAAATTACATTTGTCGTTAATTTATGGCGTGCTCCCTCCTCCCGCCGTACGTTGTTTTTTTTATTATTATTATCGTCATCGTTATCATTGTCATCATCATCGTCGTTGTTATTTGTTATTATCATTATTATTGTTATAGCTATTATAATTTTGTTGTTGTTGTATGTTGTTTGTTGTTTGTTGGATACCTTTGGCTGGCGAGCCTCGTATTTGGCATCGAGGGTCGTTGGGTGGGGGGGGGG